AACATCCATTGGCTCACTCTTCCAAGTGCCTGCAATGAACAGGGCTGGGCCAGGCCCATGCCAGGGCTTGAGAACTCAGTCCAGGTCTCCTGAGGGAGACCTATGTACTTGAGCCATCACCTGTAGCATTCCAAAGCGTGCACTAGCGGGAAGCTGAAACTCAAAGCAGAGCTGGGCTGCCAATCCAGGCAGCTGTCCTAACCTGCTGGGCCAAAGCTCACCCATACAAGTTGCCTTCTTAAGTCAAGTTTTTAAAGTTGTTACTTGTTGTCTTTTACAAGTCGAGTGCTCTTGTTTTTATGGTGGAGCAGCTCCTTGGGATAACACATTCGTTTATTTTAAAGGATGTGTGTCTAGCGTGTGGGGTTTTGGCTTACGGGTTAAGATGCTCGTCGGGAGTCATGAGTCCTACATTGATTTATCTGGGATCAATTTCCAGCTCTAGCTCTTGATACCGACTTGCTGTTCACACTGAGCTTGAGAAGTTGTGGTGATTCTGTAGTTGAGTGGGAGACCTGGATTGAGTTCCTTGGCTCTTGACTTTGGTCTGACCCTGTTCCAGCTGCTGCAGCTGTGCGTGAAATAAAACAGCGAATGAAAATTCTCTGTTTCTGCCCCTTAAATAAATATGTTCAAAGAAATCTAAAGTAAATATGTATCTGGCACACACTGTAAAATTATTTAAGGCTTTCAGTTTTGATGGGAAGTATAACTACATTAAAGTATTTTGAGAAACTAGGTCTCAAACATGAAATAGAAGATTTGGGAAAGTGAAACACCAATGCAGCAGAAACAGCCTCTAGTGTTTGGCAATTATTAATCATTTACTCCTTCATTTAGGTAGGAGGAAGAAGCATATTAGTAGGTAAATATGTGTCTATTTGTAGTCACTGGCTATTTATGAATTCCCCTTTTATAATCTAGTTTTTGTAAAAGTGCTTTGGAAGTTGTAAAGTATAATTCTTGAAATGTAGGCAGTTATCATTGTTACCCACTTTAACAAGTCATTAGAGGGTTGGCTGCACCATCCTCTGGGAGATAGTGAGTTTTGTCATGTTTCTGAGTGTGTATCCCAGGCAGCCAAAATTGAGCTGCAAGGAAACATTTGAATTTAAGAGTAAAAGAACTGCTACTCAACAAGATATATAATATAAGTACAATGAGGAAGAGCTGTTTCTCAGCAGAAAGCTCCTAGGCTCATGGTTTACCATATTTTATCTGTTATGAAATAGTCAGAGGATGAAAAACCACGCCCCAGCAAAATGCCAAAGCAAATGACCCCTCAGGAAAAGTGATTGCACCATGTACAATACAGTTCACAGAAAGATATGAATGCCCCTAATAACAGACATGAATAATTCAAAGAAGTTAAAATTGCTACAAAAATATGAAAAATGTTTGCACCTAGTAGCAATCCAAGAAATGCAAAATAAATTTTAAAATTTTCCCTTTCAAATAGGCAAAGATCGAAAAACTGCAATGTTCAGTGTTGGAGTTTGGTGCTATATGGAGGCCCTCAACATGTCTTGGGGAGAGCGTATGCAGACACACATGGTCTGGAAACAACTAGCTGCATGAATAAAGAACTTCCAGAGTCTGTATATGGTCCTCATCTCAGTACATCTACTCTGTAATCAGACTCACACAGTTTCATGTTCACATGGTGGTGTTATATATTTAAAATGACATTGTGCAACCACCAGCTGATTGGAGCGATGGATGGTGCCAGGCCCTGTACTTGTTAGCACATACAAGAAGTTTCTTTGGAGATCTTCCTAATCTAAATGCTGGACTCAGAACCCTAACGAAGAAAAGAGAGAAGACAGCACAGGTCAACCAACCATCTAAGCTATGATGGACTATGTCAATCAGTGGATTTTTCAAAGCCCTCATAGTGCTTGGAGTGGCAAGGTTGACAGCGATTCATAACTGTGGCAATATCAAAACCACTTGAGCAAGAACCTCAGAGCATGCCCTACATCCGGGACCTGGGGAGGGTGGGAAATTGGGTGGGCCTTCTCCCTTAATACCCCCCTTTAAACATGAAGGTAACAATATGGAAAACATACTAGTATTATCCACTTTCATGTATCCCTTGAACCTTCTTACCCTAATTAACTATGTAAAGAATGTCAAAATAAAATTTTATAAAAATTAAAAAAAAAATGACATTGTGAGAATAAGGTTAAAAGGAATTGTCACCCATACAACAGTTGGCCACTGAACATGGCAGGCACTCAGGAAAGACCTGTGTCATTTTCAAGTTTGGGTGACTGAAAGGTAAAGGGACAGATACCAGAAGTTGTGGAGGAAGCAATGCATCAATAGAGGAGGCCCAGCACAAGGAGACCCTCACCCACTTCTCAAGTTCTGGAAGCCCCACTGGCTTTCCACAATTCCTCAAGGAAATAGGTACACTCTGAGAGAACTACACACTCACATTTGCTACAGCAACATTTGCTACAACTGTAACAAACAACATTGTCAGATAAAGTTTCTAACATCCTACTTGGTGCTTGCTGACCTCAGGCTTGCTTCCAGCTTTTCTGTTGCTTCCATTTTATCTTTAAAAATAAAATGTTAATTAAATCAAGGGCCAGCATACCTTTTGTTTATCTCGGAGGCATTTTCATCCCACTGGTCTCCAGGAGCACATCCTAATTGTTTCATGATTTGCTAATCAGAGATGACAGATGATGCCCAGCAAGTGGGTGACCAGATGATGCCCAGCAAGTGCTTATGAGAGCCTGATTCCTTGAATCCAAAGAGTGGCCAGGCTGGGGCCTGGGATGTGGATGCTTGGATTGCTCTCCTGATATCTACCATCTGGAACTCCCCCAGAGAAACTGGGGACACAGCACAGGAGGCCATCAGAGGCAGAGGGCCCAAGAATCAAGAAGCTGAAAGACATGTTTGCTCTTCCAATGGGCAAGAATAGGTTAGAGGTGCAGGGTACAGTGTGTGTGTGTGTGTATGCACACACCTATGTGGAAACACATGCAGGGTTCTGGAAGAAATACTGCCACAGAGAAAATACAAATTAATAGAATTTAATGTGGACACAAGAATAAATAAATCACTGTATTGTTAGACAGTTCACATAGAAATGAATAAATAAATAAATTCCAATAAAAATCAAAACCAAATTGGAAAAAAAAGTAGAATTAATTGAATTGCTTTTTAAAGAAATTTAAAATACACAAAATGAAGTTTAAAAGAAAACAAATCCAAAAATTAAATTGACGGAATGCTGTTGTATCAAGTAAATACTATATTGTTAGATATTGTGCCCATTGGTAAAATTAGGGTTGAAATGTTAGTATTCATAACAAAGAGTCAGAATATCTGGAGAATCAATCAGAGTCAACTGAAACCACTTTGTGAAACCTGCTGGATGAGGGAAAATGAAGGGGTAACAGCTCTCTCCCTCATCTCCACTTGACTTGTCTTTCCATTCTCAGGGCAGGTGCAGCTTCCGTGTCCACTCTCCCTTAAATGATCCTGGGTGTCATTCTTAACAGCGAACACTGGTTTGGAGTCCTACTCCCACCTTAATGTCCTTAAACTCAGGACCAAGATTTCCTGACCCATGATTCTCATCGGCATAACAAAGGGCTGCATCCAATCAGAAGGAAAGCCAGCTAAATCACACTCACAGAACATTCCCTCCCTCTCCCCATCTACCCCACTGTTCCATCAAGTCCAGGGTTGGGCGAGTGGGAACAGGAATTGGGGCAGTCGGAAACAGATGGGATGTAAGGAGACAGGAAGGAGGGACCAGGAAGAAAGCTATAGGAGGTTGTCAGTACATTTAAAAACAAAACGGAAAACAAGAACAATGGTAACTCTAGATAGCTGGAGTAAAAACATTTGATTGTAAATATGCTTTCTCCTACCATAATGAATTTCCCCTACTATTTACATTAAAAGTATTCTATTTCACTGAGATTATCATAATAAATATCTGGTTTGTAAAAAGATTCATTTTTCTTGGAAAGGAAGATCACGTTTACAAGAAGAAGGATCAACAGAGAGAAAGATCTTCCATCCACTGGTTCATTCCCTCAATGTCCACAATGGCAGGAGCTGAGCCAATCTGAAACCAGGAGCCAGTAACTTCTATGTCTCCCATGCAGGTGCAAGGTCCCAAAGCTTTGGGCCATCCTTTACTATTTTCCCAGGCCACAAGCAAGGAGGCTGATGGGAAGTGGAGCAGCCGGGACACAACCGGTGCCCAATATGGGATCCTGCTGCAGGCAAGGTGAGGATTTAGCCATTGAGCCATTGTACTGGGCCTAGTAGATTTTTTTTCAAACATGTAACTACGGTACAGTATATATACCAAGAAATCGGCATGAATTTACTTATAATTGAGCTTGTTTGACAGCTACTCATACTCTTAACAACCATGTAGCAATAATCTCAGTGTATATGGGTGTCAAATGAATGAATTGCATTCTCTTGCTTGTACATGATCAAACACAACCAAAGTTCTGCATGAGTCTTCAGTTTGTCTTTTCATTTTGTGCTGTTTCCTGTCTTTCAGATATAGTGTTATTCTGAGCTCCCCTAACAGCCCAGCCCTGGCCCTCAAAAGTCATCAGCCATCATTCAATAAGTAAAAGGATGAATAATACCCATGCAACCTGGGCATGACTGGCCTGCTCTGTCCTACTTCTACTGAGGGTACTGTGGCTTTGTGTTGACTCTCACACACTGGTAAATATGGTGTCAGGGCTTCATCCTCCCAAGAAGACAGGACCCTTTTTTTAGTAACTTCTTGACATTGTCAGCTAGCGTTTCTGTGTAGAGGACAGTGTGAAAGTATTTGCTAAAGGGTCATTTTCTGAATGCAGTCACTGAAAATGGGGAAGTCTCAATTCAAGACCTCTTTTTTTTTTTTTAAGTCTTACCCAAAAGGAAGTGAGTATGAGGTGAATTGCATTAACTTCAAGTGCCGCAGAGATGAAACTCAAAGCAGGAAGTGACCTACCATAACGTGCTGGATGGAGCCACACGGGAGTCATGTGAGGAGACATGACAAAAACAGCCTTCCTTAAATTATGTGTGGCAATTGTGATCACATTCATTTTAACCTTGCCGGAACATTTCAAGACCCCAAAAGGTGAGTGTATAATTACAATGTAACCCTCCTCTTTTCAATTTCTAATTACAGCTAGTGTTTGAAAAAAGATCTTCCTGATAAGTGTTGAATAGGGCGACATCCTATGTTTGAAAAACTAATAAAATGAGATTTAATTTTAGCAGTTACCTGGCACAAATGCTTTATTCATAGTACTTAAATTATGTGGCCCACATAAGTATGAGAAGAATTGTTTAAAATCCGCGGAGCAGAGGACTCTAAAATCCCATCACATGATTTTACTCTTGGAAACACTTTCTTTCAAAACAGGTTTAATTATGCTTTTTATATTCTGGAATTATTTAATAAAGAAAGTGACAGTTAAGTTGAAATACCTGCATTCTCTCCACTGTAACAATTTCATGCAAATAAGTGTTGCTCTTTGAAAAATAAGAATATTTAGAGATTTTCAAAAGATTATTAGTATGGGTAAAAATTTAGGCAGACACGGTGAGCATTTGGAACTAGAGAGGAATTGCAACAATCAGTTGTGTGAACATTTCACAGAATTGTTACGTGATCATTGAAACTCAGATTGGATGATGCGCGAGAGATTAAACTATTCTTACATGTTACCAAAGATTTAAAAATGTGTTAAAGTGAATGTTTGAATGATAGTTGTACTCCTTAGCATTTAATGAGAAGGAAATGTTTATTTCTTAAATGCCTTCCTGATATTAAATAGCTATTATGTAAATTAATTAGAATCACAGAAAAATTTACATTTAGCAATTTGCTGCAATGAATATTTATTATTGCACATATGTAATGGTAAGTAGCCAGACAAAAACATATTGGTTAATTATATCTGATGACCTGTTGCAATTATTATTGAATGCTGTATATACTGGTACATAATGGTAGGCAACCTGATAAAAATGTCTTTGTTAATAAGCCCTCTGACTACAACTTTGTAAATAATTAAAAACTTATAATTTCTTTTGGTTTTCTGGTATTACACTGCTTAGATTAGATGACCATGCATGTATTTCTCATGCATGATTTCACTGAGTCAAAATGTACTTTAAAGAGAGGAGTTATAATAAAGATAATCCAATTTTTACCCATATGAGCTGAGAACAAGTTTATTTGGTAGTTATCTAAGGTCCTAGATATTTACCAAGTACCTATAAAAAATCAGGTTGACTACAATGAAAACCAGGACTCAGCCCATGCATGAGGTAGGAAAGCATTTATTAATTATTGGTAGTATTTTTTGAGAATTGTTGGCTACAAAAGTGTGGGTTCCTTTTTCAGGCAGATGAATTTGTTCTGAGTCCTTTGTCTAGGCTACAGCACAGTCTTTGGGTCAGTGGTAAGCACAAAGCCCCTTTGAGGCTGCTTGAATTTATGAGTAGATGAAAGAGCTGCTGTAAGATCCACTGTGGGCAAACTCCATTGGTCTAACAGTAATGGGGTTTCTCTTTGTCTTAACAATAATCAACCATCATTTCCACTGATATTTGTTCTCTTGGTTGTATAGGTAATTAAACCAGTTTCTAAGTACTACCATTGCCACCTCAAACTTAAAGTAGCTGTTTTTTCCTCCTTCATCTATAATCAGCAGAGCGCCCTTTCAGCTCTTCTTGGAGAGGTGTTTACTGGGAAATTTTGTTTCAGAGCAATGCTACTCTATGCCAACTGTGTTGGAGCAGGTGTTTAATAGGGGGGTTAAAATGGCTGCATTTCCTATGAGAATGCTGAGTTTAACCCTAGCTGTGGTTTATAACTGAAAAGGCAGCAAATGATGATCAAGAATTGGGTTCCTGCTGCCTAAGTAGGAGACCTGGTTCGGCTGCTGCCCAGGTTGTGGCCACTGAAGCACTGGGGAGCAGCCCAAGGATGAGAGCTCTCTCCCTATATTTCTTTTTGCTTCTCAAATTAAAAAAAAAAAAATCACTGCCTTTTTGTGATGTCATTTAGTGGTAGGAGGAACTTCGCACAAAGAAAAGGTCAAACATTGGGCAAAATGTTTAATACACACATGATATAATGCTTTATATTTTAAAATAATTTATGGGATACCCAGAATATATTCGGATAGCCTTACATAATGTAGCCCTTAGTAGTGAGACAAAAAGAGAATTGAATATTACTGTTCTAACTTTTTATTACTTTGTAATCATACTTCTGCTTGGCCTATAAAATGTACTGAATTGTCAAACGGTGTACTTCATAAAATAAAGTACCTGGTAAAATTATTTAGAATAAGCTATGAGTGTTCCAGAGGTGAAAATATTATCCTTGAGAGTCCCTGTCTAGTCTTACCTATCAGTTACTGTGGGGTTTTTCCTGAAACATTTTTTCAATGTTTTATGCACTTTAAATTCTTTTTTAAAAAAGATTTATTCTGGGGCCTTGCACAATGACTCAGTGGCTAAATCTGGGTGCCAGTTCGTGTCCCATTGCTCCGCTTCTTTTCTAGCTGCCTGTTTATAGCCTGGGAAAGCAATAAAGGATGGCCCAAAGTCTTGGGACCCTGCACCCATGTGGGAGACCTGGAGGAAGCTCTGGGCTCCTGGTTTTGGATCAGCTTAGCTCCAGCCGTAGCAGCCTCATGGGGAGTGAACCAGCAGACAGAAAGTTTTTCTCTGTATAAATCTGCCTTTCCAATAAAAATAAAACAAATCTTATCAAGATTTATTGGAAAGGCAGGTTTATATAGAGAGAGCTTTCGTCTGCTTGTTCACTCCCCAAAAGGTCTCAGTGACTGGAATGGAGCTGATCCAAAGCCCAGAGCCAGGAGCTTCTTCTAGGACTCCCACATGGATACAAGGGCCCAAAGACTTAAGTGATTCTTTTCTGCCTTCCCAGGCCATAAGGAGAAAACCAAATTGAAAGTAGAGCAGTTGGGACACCAATTAGTTCCCGTATGGGATACTGGTGCCGCAGGTGGAAGCTTAACCCACTATTCCTAGGTGTCAGCCCTGTATTTTAATTTCTAGGATAAACATTACAAACGATTTTTAGTTATAAATTATTCATTGACAACCTAATACATCAAATGCATTTTAAAAGACTCTTGAGGAATAATGGCTTTGCAAGTGTTAGTAGATTCAATGTCAAAATAAACAACTCTCTAAAGCTCCTCAATTAAAAATAGAACCCATGTTGGAGCCTCTTTCATCAGGAGTGTATCTGAGTCTCCGAATAATCGGAGCAGGAAAGTTCTGTGATCACCATGACTCTGGGCAAGCCACTGAGTTGAAGGTGACCTAAGACGAGGTACTTCTTCAACATCGCTTGAGCCTTAGTGGATTTGCGTCAGGCATGCAGTGGCATGCAGTGGGGAGGGTGGAGCAGTGGTGGCGGTGGGGTGTACTGGCTGGTCAGCCCATTCTGCAGCAGTGTTTAGAACCTTCCAGTTTATTTGAAAGCTGTTCACACTGCGGTTGGATGTACTCGTATTACATGTTAGTAAATGGGGATGCAATGGGGAACGCAATGGCTACAGTAATTTTGTAATTAAGGCACAAGTTTGCTGCCAACCAACCTGCTTTGGTTGGACTTAGAGCATTTACAGGAGAGATGTGGTTGACCCTCATGTAACCCTGACAATCTTTTATTTCCTTATTAAAACCATGCCAGGGGCAGACTGCAGGAGTTTTCAGTCAAGGGGAGGGACTGACTGACAAACACATCAGTGCCTCCTGCGTTTACTGAAGTAAGGATGGAAGAGGCATGTGTTGGGCACAAACCCACAGTTTTCAGGGCTGTTATGGGGGAAGCATCCTTCTCTGTTTTGAAAGCCCTAACTGCGTGAGCTGCAACCACTGCCCAAGCAGCTTTTCTAAGAAAAGCAAATGATAACTATTACTGATTCTCAATGAAAATGTTCTCATGCCAATATCTCAAAAACTCCTGTAAGCAGTGACTTACACAACTCACTATAATGTATCTGCAATGTTTTGCGGTGACTTAAGCCAGGAACAGCATGGAGGAAAACACCTTATCTGGCTATTGTGACTTCTTGCTTTTAAGAACCCAACTCCTGCTCCCTGTGTTTACTGATTTACATTTCTCCTGTCAGTTCACACTTTCTGGTGAGTATGGTATTACCTTACATCACAAAATTGAAAGGACAGAGGACAGAGGAACTTTATATCTTATGGGACAAACTCTGAAATATATTTGTGTATTTATCATAAAGACTAACATATCTAAGACAACTACAATTAATTTCCTAAAAGTGTTCCTGGGCTCTCAAAAATGAAATCCTTATTTTCTTCTTATTTGTTCTTCATAAAAACATAATCAGTAATAGGTTTTGGGATATAGTCTTGATTTTTAAAAAAATTTTTAATGAAATACTCCTACTGGGCACAGTGCAATGGCTCATTAGCTAAATCCTCACCTACTAAGCGCCAGGATCCCATAAGTGTGCTGGTTTGTATCTGACTATTCCACTTCCCATCCAGCTCCCTGCTTGTGGCCTGGGAAAACAGTAAAGGATAATCCAAAGCCTTGGGACCCTGCACCCGTGCAGGAGACCTGGTAGACGCTCCTGACTCCGGGCTTTGGTTTGGCTCAGCTCCGGCCAATGCAGCCATTTGGGGAGTGAGCCAATGGACAGAGGATCTTTCTCTCTGTCTGCCCTCTCTATAAATCTTAACTTTCCAGTTAAAAAAAATCTTAAAAAAAAGTTTAAAAAAATCATTCTTATTTACATGTACCGGATGTCAGACACTATACCAAAAATTTTTTTAACCAGATTACCTACTTCAATGCATTAAACAACTTATTCATGGTGAATCATGTTTCTCAAGATAGAACATTCTGAAAATACATTCAGAAAGAAAGAACAGGGGTTGGCACAGTAGCCTAGCGGCTAAAGTTCTCACATTGCATGCACTGGGGATTCCATATGGGTGCTGGTTTGTGTCCCAGTTCCCTGCTTATGACCTGGGAAAGCAGTCGAGGATGGCCCAAAGCTTCGGGACCCTGCACCCAAGTGGCAGACCCAAAAGAAGCTCCTGACTCCT